GCCCAGGACTCCCAAACACAGACGGCAAACCTTGTCCCAGCTTTCCTGTTTTCTAACAGTCCTCATTATTCAGGGATCCATATATCGGCTCTTTGGGATGGAAATGACCGCTGGTTTCAGACAGGGAGGCAGAGGTGTCCAGGGAGGCCAGGCCAGGCCTGCGTGGACATGAGGGCCCCTCGTCTGCAGAGCTTCTTCCAGAAGGCTGAGCTGCCGCCCTGGCTCCTGCAGTCCCCAGGCAAGTCCCCCCTCCTTCCTAGGCGAGCAGGGGCAGGGAGGCTGTAGGAACACAAGTTACTGAGAGGGCACGGGCCAGGCTGGCACACCTGAGATGGGAGGCTCTGGCACATTCCTCCAAACAAGGGCTCACAGCCAGCTGCACCCTGGGAATGCCTTGGAACTACGGCTCCAGGGCCAGGTGGGTCTCCTCCTGGTGCACCCCATCAGCTGACCCCCACGTGCCTCTCAACACTGGGTCGGGGGGCTGACATACGCACCCCTGGACCCTTGTCCTCCCTCCTGCCCAGTGTGTGGCCCTTGCTCAGGGCCAAGGGCAAGGCCAGTGGCTGATAACGAACATCTGCAGATGCCCAGGGTAGCCCCATGGGGTCGCCACCTGAAGGGTGACCTCAGGGCACCGACTGCCCTTCCTGATGTTGCTGTGACCTCAGGACCAGCAGTCACTCCACATGGGCTAGGAGGGGCTGACCACCACGAAGCCCTCCTGAAAATAAGCCCAGGCAGGAGGCGAGGGCTCATCTGCGGGGTCTCTGACCCCTCCCCACAGGTCTTCACAGGGCCCCCCCAGCCCGGATGCCTGGGAGCCCTCCCCCAGACCAGAAGCACCAGCTAGGTGAACAGAGGGCATCCGGGTCGCTGCAGTGGGGGCGCTGCCCGCCAGTTCTAAGAATGGGAAGGGCAACGGGGAGCACACGTTTCCTGTTGAACGAAGAGACACTGCCCTCATGTTTGTAAAGTGTCAATATTTCTTAGAAGCTAGGATCTAGAACCCCAGTCTCCTGCAAGACCCTGGCAGGTCACCCGGCATCCCTCATGTGACCCTTACAGATTGCTCGCTCCCGGTCCAGCTTCGTCTTCCTTCCCTGAAGATGCTGTGTCCTTTCCCCCCATGCTGACCCGTTGGTCTGTCCCTCCAAGCTGACCCAGTGGCCTGCCCCCCCCACTGACCCGGTGGCCTGCCCCCCCCCACTGACCTGGTGGCCTGTCCCCCCTGACGCTGACCACCTGTTTCTGTGTCTCTTCCCACAAGCCGTGTTTGGGGCAGGTTGAGCATCAGACAGGGCCCGTTCTTTACCCATCAGGTATGGAGCACTCCACACTTGACCCCTCAGGCTTCTCAGGCTCCCCCAGCCCCCCAGTGATGATGCATCAGAGACCCGCCCGGAAAAACACCTGCCGTAGGTAAAATCAGGGTGACTCCTGTGAGATGCAGCAAACAAGCTGCTTCTTGGTGCTTTTCATCATTTAAAAATGATCAGAAGATCAGAGAACAGTGACACAAGGCTCAGTTTGGAAATGCAGCTATATTTAGCGAATGCTGCTGTCTGGTGTCCCACCATCCACTCACCTGCAAAAACATGCCATCACCAAGAACCAGCCCCACAGGTTTTATCTGACAGTGCTGCCCCGTAAACTGGTGATGCTGGGCCAGGCACAGCTTCTCTGGGCCTCACCTCCTCATTGGTAAAATCAGGAGTTGACCAGAATGGTCCCTGAGAACCTTCTCAGAATTTGAGAAGGCAACTTGTACCTGTGACCTTCCAGGGATCTGTCAGCCTCACCACCAACCATTCCACCTTGCCCACAGGAGCCTTCTGCACAGGGCAGTGCACGTTCCCTCAGGACTCAATGGGCCCTACAACCAGAACCCCAGGCTGCACCCGTTCCCTCCACCACCCACCCCGACTGGCCCACGGGCACCCCAGAGGGACTGGCAGATTGAACAGGGCAGCACAGAACTGAACATATTTCACTGTCAATGCTGGGGGTCGGGAACCTCTCATATCTGCTGCCAAACACACCCAACTCCCACTCCTTATTTTAGGGAAAAATGCGTTCACCACACTCAGTTTCTTTCTGGCTAGTTGGACACGAGGATGGCAGAAGCAGCTCCAGAAGTATGAGCAGGGGTTAATCTTTGTGTTTACATTTCGCATCATTCACAGCTCTTCATCTGCTCTAAGCTTTCAGAGGCTCAACTCTGAAAGAGAGGAACGCTGCTGCTCACCCCAGGCACTAGCATAGCATCCTCACTTTGTTCCCATTTCCAAAATATTCTCCTTGTTGAAAGAAAGAACTGTAAAAATAAGATTTAGGGTTTGGGTAAACGTGATCTTCAACTGTTTTTTTGATGAGACGCTCATACCTTGCCCCTAAACTTAAATACTCTGCATGAGAAAAAAAAAAAATTGCTCATTCCAAACAAACACGTATTGCTCCCACCTGTAATCTTCTTCTTCTTCTTGTTAGGTGCCGTGGAGTCAATTTCAAGTCATAGCAACCCCATGTAACAGAACAGAACTGCCCTATAGGGTTTTCTAGGTTGTACTCTTTATAGGAGCAGATCGCCAAGTCTTTCTCCAGGGGAGCCGCTGGGTGGTTTTGAACTGCGAACCTTTCAGTTAGCAGCCGATTACTTGCCCTTAAAACATTCTCTAGGACTTTAAATGAGACTCTCACCCTCTAAGGCAGCAGTGAGTTGGTGGGAAGGAGAAGGTCCTGAATGTGTGAACTGGCAGAAGCTGGGCTCCTTCGGTGGTGCAAGAGAAGGGGTCAACCCCCCTGCAAACGGGCCAGAACCTGGATGCAGGGGCCCTGCCATAGGCCCAGCCCTGTTGCAAGCAGTTGCCTCTAGAATGGGCAGGTCTGGCCCCAGGAGGTGGGCAGCCCCAGGTCACAGCAGGGTATAGAGCAGCACCTGCGAGGGGCCTGTGCTCACCCACCTGGCCTGCAGATGGGGGCTTGGACCCCCACTGTCCAGTTGGAGGCTAGCACCAGGGACACCCGCCCTCATCGGGTAAACAAAGACACAGGACTGTCCTGACCCTTCCGCCCCAGCAGGTGCATTCCATTCCACGCCAAAGCACACTGAGTCCGTGAGTCATTTATTGATTTCAACTCGCCACAACGGCCGGACTAGGATACATTCATTCACACAGTAACTGTGCTTGAGTCGGGTTTTCATCTGGAGGTAATTGCCTCTGCAGACGTCCCCACCATTTTTTAAAAATAAACACTCCAAAGCATCTTACAGGCCCGAGAGCTAAGCGAGGCCCTCACTCAACACTCGAGTCCTCAGGCAAAACTCAGGAGAGGGCAGCGGCAACACTACACACTGCCCCCAGCTTTGGTGCTGGCCGCGGACACCGTCCCATCTGCAGACGGCCCCTCTGCCCAGCAGAAAGGAACTGGCCGTGGGCAGGGCCTGTGGAACAGAGGCCGTGGTGGGCTGGGGCTCATTTGAAATTGGATGTGGGGGAGCTTATCTCACACAATGGGGAAGCAGCTGTCTGCAGGCACATGGCTCCAGCACAGCCAGATGCAGAATGCATGGACGGTGGGCAGCCAGGTGGCGGGGCGGCAGGCAGGGATCTGTAAGGTCACTTTAAGCTTGAGAGCGGTCGGAGGTACCAGAACTCCTGCGGGGGAGGGGGCCTGCCCTCAGAGACCCCCTCTCCTGAAACTGTGCTAGGAGGTGGGCTCCAAGGCCATGCCCTGAGCATCCACACGACACCCAGAACAGAGGGTAAAACACCCCCAAGTGGAGGACTCCCAGGCAGGCAGCCAGGGCCACATCTCCATAGCCAACTCGGCCCCTTGGCCTTCCCATAAGCCCACGCTGAGGTGCAAGGTCCTGTCTGGGGCCTTCATAGAGGCCTCCCACCCCCACCCGCCACCCATGGCTCAGGTTCTGATTCCAACACCCTGGAGCATGTTCCAGCAATGCCTGCTTGCCCACTCATCCCCAGAGACATCAAGGCCATGGAGCCAGGAGGGAGTCCTGATGCACAGGGCTGCCTCAGATACTGCTGACGTAGCCTGGGCCACACCGTCCCATGGGGCACCAGCTCTAAAGCCACCTCAGAGAGCCAACTCCACCATGTAAGCAGACGGCACAGATGAAAATGCACACAGATGGCCTCCTTCCCTTAACACTGGGTTCCTATAACAGCCCGCCTCGACCATCGGCCTCTCTGGTCTGCCCTCTCTGAGGCGATCCCATCACACACCGTCACACAAAGGGTGTCAGGCCTGGGTGGCGGGGTAGTCTGTCTGCATGTTCTGCAGTCCAGGGACCACTATCCTCTGACACTATTTCTGTTCCTGCTCTCTCACCCCCACCCCACCTCAAGGTGCCCCTGGCCCAAAGCATAGTGTCCTGCCCCATCCAGAGCAGCATGGCTGCCTGACCAGCAGGGCCAGCACGTGGAACGAGGCACCCCTCCTGGCTGCCACCACCCCATGCTGCATCCTTATGTGGCAGGAACATATTCAAGGTTCATCCAGGTGTTTTGGGGGGAAGTAGGGAGCGACTCACTTTTGCAATCACCTAAAGACAACAGAAACCCACCTTGGGGTGTAAAATCCACCTGCAGGCACATTCTCAGTGGAGAGCACCCGGCCCCCCTGTGCCCTCGCCTGTCACCTGCAAGCCCCGCACTCAGGGACCCCACTTGCTCCCCAACTCCCCCAGACCCTTCCCACCCTCTGCAGGATCCCCTTGCCCCTCAGCGGGCAGCAGGCATCAGGTCTCACCCCTGCCAGCTCAGAGGGCCTTGGCACTGGCGGGGTGAGCAGCGTGGGGAGCCGGCTTTGGGGGGCGGCGGGCATAGGTGTAGGCCTGCAGCAGGATGGCCAGGTCGACGAACACTTGCAGCAGGCCGCAGATGGAGAACTGCAGCGGCACGTGATTCAGCAGGAAGTAGGCCGTCTTGAAGGTGTCACCGCTGGTCCACATCAGCACCATCTTGATGCTGTGGAGAGACACATAGGGGTCAGGGTAGTCTCTACCGGGCCTTGCAGGACAGGGGCTCTGTGTAAATGCGGCTCTTATGCCAGGGGACCCCAATTCCCAAGGGAAGGGGGTACTCTTTGGAGGATCACCAGGTGCTTGGCTGTGCCCCATAGGGAGTACAGTTCTAAAGGTGCAGAGGCCAAGATGGGAGAGACACATTGCACAGGAGACAGAGCTGGACCAGGTGCAGTGGCCTCAGCCCTCCAAGAGCAATGGAGACCAGGCGTTGGGACGCTGCCCTGGGCCACCTTCAGAGGCCATCTGCGTGGGAGCTCTTGCATCCAGCCCGTGTGTGATGGGGCACCTGGCAGGGGGCACATGGCTGGGACACGGCACAGAACATGGAGGAGCAGGATGCCTGGGGCTCGAGTGTAACGTCTGCAAGGCCTCCAAAGAGTGGCTCTCACCCCTGAACGCCCCATCCCGGCATCCAGGGGTGCTGAGGACGTGAACCACAAGCCAATGGCGGTTCTCCGCCTGGCACCCAACCCTGCACACAGCAGAGCCAAGCGGGACTCTTGGGGGATGCGAGGTCCAGACCATCTTACTCATAATTCAGGGTGACTCCATTACTGGAAGCAAACCTTCCCTGCAAACCGCTTCCATGTCTCCTCCATTAGACTAGCCCTAAAGGCACATAAAACCATGGGGAGCAAATTAGGAACAATCGCCACTTACTGCCTATATTCTACACACATCTCTTGTTTGCACCCAGCATTTAAGAGCACAGCCTGCCAAGTAATGAAAATAAGCACGATGTATTTTTCTGCATGAAATGTGTTTAAATTAGACACATTTGCATTGGCAGGCTGAATCTTTTCCAGCTAATTAAACCAGACTACGGAGAGCTTCCTGCAGGGAGGGGGCGTGTGCAGCTCTCCCCGGGACAAGCCTGCCTGGCTCAGGGTCCCCAGAGCAGACAAGACACAGGTCAGAACTGCAGACCCACCGGCACAGACCCCAGGACACGGCAGCCCTCAGCAAGGTGCCAACCTGCTGGCATGAGGAGGCTCTGCAGAAAAAAGGCACGAACAGCCCCGGTCCAGATCCGCCCTCCCTGCCTCAGCTCCCTGCCACAGCTTCAATCTCCCTAAGCCTCAGCCCATTTTTATTTATAAGGCCAGGATAAGAAGCCTCCTCTCTCAGAACCTCCATGTGAGGATTATGATCCTGTGTACACATGGCAGGCGCCCAGCCCATGCCCTCCGTGATTTAAGGCTTGGAAAGCTGCAAAGGAGTAGAGAGGCTCTCCATGCCTAAAACATTTTATTATGTTTTAGATACATTTTATTTGACTTGCAGTGTTGGCTCACACAGTGCTTCAAAATGTTTTAGAGTTAGCTGATAACTAATTCTGTGTAAAAAACAAAAATCCAGATTTCTGGCTTCCCTAAGATCTTTTCCCAAATATTTTAATCTATGAATTCAATTTCTTTATTAGATATAGGACTATTTAGGTTATCTATTTCTTCCTGGGGAAGTTCTGGTAGTTCACGGTAGTAGTGGTTTCCTAGGGCTTCTGTAACAAAGTACCACAAACTGGATGGCTTAAAACAACAGAAAGTTATTCCTCACAGTTCTGGAAGCTAAAACTCCAAAATCAAGGTATCCGCAGGGCCATGTTCTCTCTGAAGGCTCTAAAGGAGAATTCTTTTTTGCCTCTTCTTAGCTTCTGGTGGTTGCTGGCAATCGTTGGTGTCCCTTGGTTTATAGATGCATCACTCCAATCTCTGCCTCCATTTATACATGGCCTTCTCCCTATGTCTCTGTGTCTCTCCTCTTCTTATAAGGAAACCCTAATCCAGTATGACTTCCTCTTAACTCGATTAGATCTGCAAAGACCATATTTCCAAATAAGGTCACATTCATAGGTACTGGGATTAGGACTTCAACATATCTTTTAGGGAGACACAATCTAACCCACAACAATGGTTTTCAAGGAATTTGTTCATTATGTCTGCATTGTTGAATTTATGGCATGGAGTTGTTCAGAGTGTTACCTTTTAATGTCTGTGGGGTCTATAGAGTACCCTCTTCCATTCCTGATGTTGGTAATTTGTGTTTTCTCTCTTCTTTGTCAGTCTGGCTACAGGTTTATCAATTTAATGATCCTTTCAAAGTACCAGCTTCTGGGTTAATTTATTTTCTCTATTGTTTTTCTATGGTCAATTTCATTGCTTTATGCTATCTTTATTATTTCCTTCCTTCTGCTTGCTTTGGGTTTATTTGCATTTTGTTTTCTAGTTTCTTAAGGTGAAAGCTTGGATTAATATTCTGAACCTTTCTTCTTTACAAAGTATTTTAATGCTATAAATTTCCCTCTACACACTTCTTTAACTGCATCCCACAGATTTTAATATGGTATTTTATTTTCATACAGTTCAAAATATTTTCTAATTCCCTTTGAGACCTCCTGTTTGAATCATGGATTATTTAGAAGCATGCTGCTTATTTTCCAAGTATCTGGGGATTTTCAAGACATCTTTCTGTTCTTAATTTCTAGTTTAATTATATTATAGTCACAGAATACTCTTCAGATTATTTCAATTCTTTTAAGTTTGTTAAGATTTGTTTTATGACCCAGGATATGGTCTAGCTTAGTGAATGACCAATGAGCATTTGAAAAGAATGTGTATTCTGGGTGGAGTGCTCTGTAAATATCAATAAGATCCAGTTGGTTGGTGGTATTGCTCAGGTTTTCTCTATCCTTGCTGATTTTCTGTCTTTTTCTTATAATGACTGAGGAGTGTTAAATTCCCTATAATTGTGCATTTGTCCATTTCTCTTAATTTCTATCAGTTTTGGCTTTATGTATTTTAAGGCTCTGTTGTTAAGTGCATACACATTAAAGATTGCTACGTTTTCTTGATAAACTGGCCCATTTATCATTATGTAAAGTCCCTCTTTATCCTGGTAATTTTCTTCACTCTGGAGTCAACTTTGTCTGATATTAATACAGCCACTCCCAACTTCTTTGATTAGTTTATGTATGGCATGTCTTCCTCATCTTTTTATTTTTAATCAATCTTTTGCATTATATGTGGCGCCCTGGTGGCGCCGTGGTTAATAGCTATGGCTGCTAACCAAAAGGTCAGCTGTTCAAATCCACCAGCCGCTCCTTGGAAACCCCATGGGGCAGTTTTACTCTGTCCTATAGGGTCACTATAAGTCAGAATTGACTTCACAGCAATGAGTTTGGTTTGGTTTTGATTTTAGCATTATATGTAGAGTGGGTTTCTTATAGACAGTAGGTAGTTCGGTCTTGTTTCTTTAATCAATCTGACAAGATCTTTCCTGTAATTAGTGTGATCACACCGTTTCTACTTTAACTACTGATGTGTCTGAATTTAAGCTCTGCCTTTCTCTGTCTGAATTCTGTCTTGAACCAACTCAGAATCTCAGAGTTAAGCAGCAGCGAGACAAAGGAGCTCAGCCCGTGAATAATTCAACACCGGGCTCAGATGCCAACCACTGGGAGGATGCAGGGTCACAAGCAGGGATGCCCACAGCTGCGTGCAGAAAGCACAGTCAGACCAGGGGAGCAGGCTAGGCTGTGCTGGGTGTGCTGTCCAAGACAGGAACTTGCCTGACTTGTAGATCCAGAACCCCAGGGAGGAATCACAGGGCCATAAGGACAAAATCGTGGGAACTACACCCCCAAGGCATGGGCAGAGGAACAGGCCGAGATTTAATCAAGCCCCAGTTGTGGCCAAAGGCAGTCTTCACCATGGCACGGAGCGGACAGCGCAGGCACACTGGCTTCAAAGGCAGCCTCGAACCAGGCAGCTGGGTACCCGGGAGGCTGTGGGCAGCTGGTCAGCCCAAAGCCAAACCAGCCCCTTTGAAGTACCAAGATGCTGCAGCCTGCCAGCACCAGCCAGCCAGTGCTCCCCCTGCACAGACCTCTGCACTTTCCAATGGAAAATCAGCACCAGCAGGGAAGCATTTCTGGGAGATGCACAGAAACCAACAGAGGTTTCTGCAGAAGGCAGTGAATGAGGGGAGAGAGCCCACTGTGGCTCAGGGCTCAGCAAAGTAGTGTTTAGTTTAATCTTACAGAATAAAAAGCTCAAGACAAGTCTTCCCCAGGGCTATTCAAATTTTAATAGGAGACTCAGAGACCCTCCCTCCAAATAAACAAGAGAACGAATGCAAGTGCCAAGGAAAAGCTTCCTGAGGCAGAGACAGGGTGGGAGGCAGGAACAGGGCTTGCCAAATCAGACTGGGCCAGGAGACAAGAAGGAAGACGGTGTGCGTGAACCACCAAGAAGTCAGGGAGGAAAGCGCTATTGTCTGAGGTCTGGGGCGGCCTCCCTCAGAGGTCCCATGGACGGCCTGGAGGTGCCTCGTGGTCTGCACCTCTGGTGCACCTGTACACAGTGTTGCTGGAGACCAGGCTGTCCTCAGAAGGAGGGTAGCCCTCGTGAGTGGAACACCTCTGTTGGTACCCCTGGGGCAGATGCTGGCTGGTCCGGCAAGCCCACAGTGCCCGAGACGGTAGCCCAGATCAGAACCATGGCCAAGTGCTGCATCCTGGTCTTACTGGACCTCAGTCCTAGCTGGACTCCACTCCTCCACTCAGCCCCTGCCGGGCTCTGGCCTGCTCCTCCTCGGCCCTCGGGCACACGTGCTGACCCTGGCCACTGCTTCCAGGGCCCCTCTGCAGTGCAGGACCACACAAGCTGCTGCATGTGGTCACTCTATGACTCTCACAGCCCTCCCGAGCATGTGTTTATTACTCTATTTCCAGCTGGGGAAACTGAGATTCAGTTGGGCTAAGTAATTTCTCCAAAGCTAGTGGGAGAAAAGTGTGAAGATGGCATTCAATTTCAAACCCATGGCCTGACCCCAAATCCAGCTCTGAACCTATTCAGCTGATCCACAGAGACTTCCTACAAGGCCTTCCTTCACTGCCTCCTCACTGGGCGGTCCCAAACTATCCCCTCCTCTGGGTCCTCACTCCACCTTCTTCCTTCAATGTGCAGAGCCCAGGGGCAAAAGCAAAAAATGTCTCTAGGGCTGAGGATTGACCCCAGTGCTATGGTTTCTGACATCCCAGGAACACTACTCACGCTTCTTCCCTCTGGTTTTACAGTGAGTTCCAATACACACACATGCACATATACTCACATACTCCCATGCCACAAATCACACACACACAAGCACTCACACACCATACATACTCACATGCATGCATATGCACACTCACACGTACATGCACTCACATACATGCACACCACACACAGCACACACCACACAGCCACAAACACAACACACTCCCACACACACACATACACATACCACACATGGACACAACACAAAACACTTGGACACACGCACGCACACACACATGCCTGCACATTCTTCTCCTTCTATGTGGAAAGCTCAGAGCTCAAGGATGAAAACACTGCACTGTCCCCACTTGCAAACACTTACCAAAGGACGTTTCCTCTAAGGAAACGCATTCCCCCTTTCCGTGACTCAGAAAGCTAAGCTAAATCAACTTGGCAATTTGCTGCTATCATAAGTGCTCAGCAGTTTATGGGTAATAAATGGGTGGGACTGCTGGGTTTTACCGGAGGTTTTCAACTACCAAGGCTGAGACCAACTTTCTGGAAATGGTCAACACAAACCCAGGCTGAATTTCCTCCTCCTCGGGCCTCCATATACTCTCTAGCCCGTAATTCCTTCCCTGAAATTGGACTCATTGTCAGTGTACAACGTAAGGTCAACCAGCCTTCTTTCTAGCTCATTTTCTTCCAAATTTCACAGCATTTTTTTTTTTTTTGGAGGGGGGAGTGTCACATATGAAGTAAGCTGTCATTTAGGGCACATTTAAGCTGTAATTTAATTTTAATGTCCTCTTATTCTAAAACCTTACTAGAAAAGCAAATTATGAAAAGAGCTCATCTGAGCCACATTCACATTTTCCACAGACGACAAAAGGCAATTGTAAAATAGAAAACTGTGATTATAGTGGAGAAGTTTTCTGGGGTCTGGCTTAATTTTGCAAAGCATGGGGCAGGGTGCAGGATGGGACAGGGTGTGGGGAGTAGGGTGTGTGTGGGCCCGGCGTGTGGGGTGCCAGGTGCCGGGCACACAGAAGGGTGGGTGAGGATGCGGTTGCTGGCAGGTGTGGGGTGCAGGGACTGCTCCCCAGGGGACTACTTGTGGGGGAAGTAGCCACGAGTGGGGCACGGGGGCTGCTAGGGGAAGGGCATCCAAGGCCCCAGATGTGGGTGGCCAAACACTGGGCAGGATCAGCCACACTGCGGGCTCAGGACAGTTGGGTGTGGACGGGACGGTTCACAAACAGCTGGGAGGCAGCACCAGGCCAACCTCGGCCAGATATGTGGCTGCCGTGGGCCTGCAGGTGTTGCCCCCAATGCTCATGATGCCCACTCCTTTGGCCCCAGAACATGACAAAGGGCCTGCTTGACCACCTGCTCCGGACGAGGACAGAGACACAGGAACGGGGCACCCAGGGTGACACAGCAGGTAGGCTGGGATCCCGGACCAGTCAGCCCCAAAGTTCCCCAGGAGCCGGACAGGTGGGGCTGAAGAGTGAGCTGAAGTCCCCTCCCAACAGCCCTGGCTGAGCCCCAGCCAACCTTGCAGACTGCCTCACCCCAGCCACCAGGTCACAGAGGACTAGGTCCCAGACAGCCCACTGGGAGCCGCAGAAAGCCCTAGCCAACCCCAGCCTGCCTCCCACTGCATCATCCCAGACTCCCTGGAACCCACAACTTGACAAGTTCACCTCCCATGTCTAAGGGGCACAGTCTCCTTCCCTGGTGCTGCTTGCTGGGGCATGCTGGCAGGGAGTTGTGTGGGACCGTGCAGAGGGCCTGGGAAGGGGGCCTGAGCTGCGGCTCTAAGTGCATAATTTATTTTATAAGGATCAGCACACAGCTGGTTCCTATGAGGCAGAGGTTAAAGATGTCACAAATGTCCAACTTTTCCAAGCTACTGTACCACTCTATCATCTCTAACATCAACTATTCCCCTCTCCTCAGCACTCTGCCTCCTGTCTTTTTGGGTTCCATAATTCACTGAAACGTCTCACAAAACTCACGAACCGTATCAAGGAAATGGCTCACACAGTTGCGGAGGCCAGCAAGTCCCAAATCCATTGGTTAGGCGTAGGTTTTTCTCGACCCACGTGGCTGCAGGGGCTGACGAACCCAAACTGGCAGGTCAGACCACAGGCTGCTGGCTCACAAGGCTGCAGAAGCTGGTGAATCAGGTCAGATGATAGGCTGCTGGTGGAGGTTAGACAATCACTAACTGGAAGTGGGATCCATATGCAGAGAGAGAGAGAGAGAGCCCCACCAGGCATCTACATACATACTTTGGAGGCAGGCTATACCCTAGGGAAGGGCGTAACTTGAATAAGGGTGAGACTTGAATCATGCCCTCCTGGAAGGCTGTGACCCAAGACACATCCCACACCAATCCTCCTTCATCAACATGTGGAGGTCAGGATCCACAACACATAAAATGGAGGACAACCATACAACACGGGAACTCGTGGCCTAGCCAATTCGACACATAACCCCACCATCACTGGTTCCATATACCTTATTTGCATAGTCCCACTCAATCATATTGTGTGTGAGTCACAAAGACCGTGGCTAGAAGGGCCATATTAAGTAAATTCATTGCCCCGCAGTCTTCCAAAGGGGAGAGGGGATAGGGCGGCCATAGGGTCAAACAGTACTCAGTCCTGCCTGGGAAGGGGCCTCGGCCCCAGGCCCACCACCCTCCTTCCTTCCCTTCACATAGCTACTTGGGGTGACCATAGCCAGGGACCACCTTTCCAAAGCTCTGTGCCTTTATGCTTTCCTGTACCTCTAGTGGCTTCCCAATATATTCCTTTCCGGCTCTTTAATAATAATCTGTTCCAGTGCTGATAGTTTTTAAATGATGAGCTTCCTCTTATCTTTCACACCCCACCCCCTGGCTCTCCAGTAATTGCTTGTTGGGAAATATTGTTCCAATCTAGTAAAAAGTAGAGGAAGAAGAATGCAAATATTCTTACAGAATTTGCCTTTTAGATCTTGCTGCATTAATCCGTTACTTCAAAATAGTTTTTCAAAAGCTTTGTCATTTTTTATCATTGTTCAGAAGCTACAACCGCTTAATATATTTCAAAAGAAATCATAATTCAAAAATACCTATGGCAGCTACAAGAAAGCCTGTGCTCCAAGGCAGAAAAAGTGTGTACGTGCATGTGGTGCACGTGTGAGTGTGCTGTGTGAGCGCATGTGCACACAAGTGTGCAAGTGTGAGTGTGCTCATGTGTCCATATACATGCGTGTGTTCATGTGTCCATATACATGTGTGTGCTCATGTAGCCATATACATGTGTTGCTCATGTGTCCATATACGTGTGTGTTCATGTGTCCACATGCATGTGTGAGTGTGCTGTGTGCTCTGTGTGTACACGTGCACACAGATGTGCATATACGTGTGTGCCCACGTTTGTCCATATGTATGTGTGTGCGTGTGTATGCACATGTATGCACACATCCTTTAAACAAACCCCTGAAGCAGGACTTTCCAGAAGGAGGTCTGACACGAGCCTATGAAAGTTATATTCTATATAAACAGACATTCACAGGTCTCTTCATATTCTTATGACGCTGGTCCCTGATGTCATCTTAAACATCTTACTAATCTACTTAAACCAGAGTTGAGGTCAGCAGTCCTGAGCAGATTCTAGGAGGCACGTACACCTCTCCTATCTCAGACCGGGGAGTGAGGAGGTCCTCAGAGAAAAGGAGAGGAAAACTTTATGCTGTCTTTTCTCAGGCTTAGATTACCACTCTCACCAAAATCCTGATTTAATGTGTGTATGTAAGCACTCATTTGTATGTGTACACATTTTAAATACATGGTTATACACCCCAGAGGGTTTTGCACCAGGAAGCACGTACACTCTATCAGACTCACATTTGGAAATGACAACAATTATTCAAGAATCTCATGTCCCAGTTGATCCGGTGGCAACATGATGCTCCATCTCAGAGAGGACTGGAATGCAAGGGCACCGCCGTGACCTCCCACAGGCCTCCTGAATCAGACTAATTCAACAGGCACTTGCTAACAATGCAGCCGGCACTGAGAGCCTGTGAGCTACCTTTGGCAGTGGCTGAGGGAGAGCCCAGGCCCACCTCGCTCCAACATGGCAGGGGTAGGGTAGTCTGAGGAGGCACGGAAGAACAATGCCGTGTGGCAGGGCACACAAAGGGAGGGAGGGCTGAGCCATGTCCAGAGCATGCGCCAAAGCCTCAGTGGCCGGGGGCCATTTCCAGGCTGTGGCCAAGCAACGCGGGGCGCCCACTGCAGTGTGCCAGCCCGGTGACGTCACGTGCCCGCCCAGTGACACGCGGCTCCAAGAGGCCACGGGCTGACAGACCTTCAGCTAGACCCAAACCAGGCTGCACATCACAGTAACTGTGGTGCCTTTGGGAACAAGGATGCCCACAAATTCCAGGAGCTTTAAAAGCTCGTCCCAGGCTCAAATGGAAGGACACTGGACAATAACTGAAATCACATGAAGTAGAAAGCGCACCAGTAGAAGTAACTGCACAGGTCTCCCCGTTCTGCGCTAGGGGTTCATGGTCTGGAGGATGCCTCTGCTGGCCCCTCGCCGTACCCCCACAGGGGCTGTGACCACCGGTCACTCCCTCCCACCCTGTGAGGACAGAGAGCCCGGGGTGCCTGGCAGCATCTAGCGCAAATGCCGAAGGAGGGTCCTTCAGAAAGTGAGCATAAGTGACAAACTGGCACTCCTAGGAAAGCGAAGAGGAACCACCTAGGGGGCTGTGGACCTCCTCACGGCTGTTCCCTGGAATTCGCTCTGTTCTTGCTCTCTGCCTCCTTGTACCCAGCCCGCCCAGAAGAGGGGGAGGAGAAGCCACAGGAAGAGAGGGGCTGAGGTTAGGACGAGGTCTGAGAGAGGCTGCTCCCCCAGTCAGCCAAGCCACCACGCCACCACTCCGCCATCCCTTGTTCCAAAGGCAAATGCCACTCCTGTCTGCTCTTCCTTCATAGCATCATCTTCCAAAAGATGCAGCTGAGCCTCCGGCTAGAAACACAAACACCCATGGCTGTTTCTGCAGAGCAACATGGACCTCCAGTGGCCTGGAAGCTGCATTAGGGAGAGGCTCTGCTTTGATGCCTCCCATACTGGACTGACTGCTGCCCAGGATGGGTCCTCCAGCCTGGGCTGTGATGCATCAGACTCCCCAAGAATTAGACGATCGGCCAGTTGCCTACACTGGCAGATCCCCCACATGGACGAGAGGCCCCCAGTACTCTCCTCTCTCTAGGTGTGAGCTAGAGCACCCACTCTTCCTGTCTTTAATAAATGTTTGCTGAACTGTGTAATTTGCCAAACACTGCACCAGATTCTGACGAGATAGATGGGGATACAGACCCCACCTCCAGTGGTTTGCGCAGTGCGTGGGGGGCCAGACCTGTTAAGATGGTGCAATCAGGGCCACCCGAGTGCTGCAGACAGGGATTCCTGAACCCCAGCCCCTTCAAACCACCCAGGAGGTTCCTGAAAATGCCCATCCGCACCCCACCTCTGGGGGCCGACTGAGGGGTAGGCAGGTTACCTATGCGTGTAAAAGCTGCCAGGGGTGCTGAGGCTCAGTGAGACTGGGGCTTGCAGGACACAGGCAAGTGCCCGCCTGGGGTCCAGGTGCTGGGAGGCGTGGGGCCAGGTGGGTGTCTATCAGAGAGGAGCCCCGGTGCATAGGGAAGGTATGTGGGCCACCAGTGAGGCATGCCAGGCAGCTCAAGTTGACTCAGGCAGGTCCAGTGCTGATCCCAGCTCTGGTGCGTGTGGACACTGAGGCCTGGGCAGGGCCAGTAGCTCCACCGCATGGCCTTGAGATCTGTCCAGCCCCAGCACTCCTGCATTTACAGGGATGGCAGCCTGGCTCCCCACATACCCCTGCTCCTGTCTGGGGACACTGGTCTGCACAGGCTGGGCACCCTCTCCCTCTGTCCGCTCCGCAGCCCCATCCTCCACCACCCTAAGGAGCTGCTCACAGGTGCAGAGGCCATTACCTGCCCGTGAGAGGATTTCAGCCCACAAGACGATGCCCGTCATCCTAATGTGTGCACTCATAAGCCAGAGAGCCAGAGGCGAACTCCTCAGCAAGCTTGGAAACAAAGCGGCAGGTGCAAGGTGTGCCTCTGCGGCCGCACACCATCCTACCTCATCCCCTCGGTGGACCGGTGGCGGTGGTTGCGGCACAGCTGCGGCACGCCCAGCATGGCCTCGGTGAACACAGCCAGGAAGCCCAGCGTCTCCACAAAGAGGGTCGAGTCGATGCATAGGTAGGTGACGTAGCCCGCCACGCCTGAGAAGGCCAGCACGCACTGCACATAGTCTGAGAAGCTGCTCCAGCGCCAGAAGTGGTGCAGGTCGAAGTCTAGGGCAAGAGGGAAAGCATGAGCGTGGCCACTGCCCCACTGCACACCTGGACAGGCTCGGCACAGCATGACTTGGCTCACCGGTGCCAGAGCCCCAGCAGGGCAGGGCAACTCACAGGCCTTGGGGCCTCACCGCCCGGCTGAAATCCTGCTCCCCCACCTCCAAGCTGCTGGCCTCACGTTAAGCACCCCCTGTGCCCCATGTCTGCCACGGAAAGGGAATACTAGCACCCACCAACCTAGGATGGCCTTGAGGGTTAAGTGAGTTCAGCTTAGAGTAAGAGCTTGATAAATTTATGTAGTTATTATCACTGCCTACACTCAATTCTCGTTATTCATAGCAGTGATGGACTGGAAAGGCCCTCGAACACAGAACCAGCCCTGTTCAACCTAAGCTGGGAATGTGCGTGGCAGGTGACCGCTCTGGACATGTCTGTGAATGACTATGGAAGCACCTCGAGTATTGATTTTCAGGTCACAAATAAATTTTAGTGAGTAGGTGAATTCGCAAATACAGAATCTGTGGATAATGAGGATCGACTGAAGTTAGTTGCTAGAATGATATAGTTTGCTTGATAGATGCATTCTGTAGGAACCAAATTTGTAAGCGCTCACCCAAATCAGTAAATTAAATGAGGCTCGTAGAAGGTACCAGAGCAGAGATGGGCAGAGAGGAGCCTGCGGTGGGAGGGCCAGACGGTGGACCTGGAGGGGAGATGGGCGCCTGGGAGACTGCAGCAGAGGGGTGGGGCAGCCCTGGTAGAGGGAAAGGCCGCCCAGCAGCCGTGGCATGGACATGAGCAAGAGGTCTCACAGCAAGGGGTGAGGACTGGAAGCAATCCACTGTGCACACAAATGCCCACCCTCCTCACCCCAAGATGTGCCACCTCACTCCATTCCCATGCCCTAGGCAAAACATCTGCTGGTTCTGGGGGGCGTCAGTGAGCAGCTGAGGCAGCGAGGAGCTGGCTAGGGGACACAGCTTGTTGGTTCCAGGGTCAGCGTAGCACTGGCATCACCACAGACATAGCAGGGAGTGGCCTGTGTGCCTCACAAAGGTGACCCCGGCTGTAGTGCCAAGGTCAGCCTAGGGACCCTGGACCCAGTAGCTGGGACGCAGAAAACCAGCGTCACATGCAGATGAAGGACACTGTGGGGGTGGGGAGTCCAAAGAGATGCAGGACATGGAGGGGAGGGAGAGTCCAAGAGGGAGGAAAGGCATAGCAGGGCCCAGGAGGGATGCAGGAAGTTGGGGGGGGGGGGGGGGGGGGAGGGACATGGGTCATGGGGCAGGGAAGCGATGTTCAGCTAGCATTTGGCAAATTGGGTCTGAAGTCAATTCTAGCTTCTAGCTTCTCCAGGAGGAAGGAAATTGGCAAATGACTGACTAACAGGAAAATGCATTCATGGAGGTCTGTGTGTGCAGGAAGCTCAGTTACACGACACGTGTTGGAACAGCTCCTGCCCTTAGAGAGCCTACAATCGAGCTGAGGGGAGGAAACCTGGTGAGAACAAGACACAAAACAATTAAAGCTCAAAGGACAAGGTAACAGTGGGCGCCCTAGGGTACAAGAGTCAGGAGAGGCAGCATCCGAGCCTGAGGGGGCACATTCCAGACCAGACTGTGAGCAAGACATCCAAAGGGCTCTACCGCACAGCCCGGCAGAACCGCAGCGTGAGCCACAAACCCAAGTTTAAATTTTCAAGGAGGCAAATTTTGAGAAGGAGGAAACCAGATTGATGTTGACAATATATTTCATCAAACTCAATACATCTGAAATATTATCATTCCAACAGGGAATCAATGCAAACATCATAATATTTTAATTCTTTTTTTTTCTTTTTTTTGGTCTTGTGACCCCTTAGCTCCCTGTTTCTAAGCTCAAGGGGTCTCTTAGGATTCACCATCCTCAAATCTGAACACACCAGGCCACAAGGTCTTCCTGCCCTCCTGCACTGCTGCATGTCATCACATTGGCTCCTCAGCCTGGACTCACAGACGGCCCCAGACACTCAGACACTCTCATCACATGCTCTTCCAGGTGGCAGCCTGGCTGTGTCAACAACTTCGTGCCACGTCTCGGCCCCACTCCTAGCAGCCACAGAGCAAACCACACAAACTCCCAAACACACACAAGCTAGCATCACGGAGCAGGACGTCACAGCTGGTCACTGTCACCAGAGGCTCAGAATGTCGCTCAGAATAATGTAATTCTTCCCTCTCGCTACTGCTTTTCTCCCCAAAGTGCCTGCATGGGCAAATGGCATTAATGGCACAAAACTTCAGAGGTCTAACGTCATTCCAGGTGTACGGAGGAACTCACTCAGGTCCGGTCCTGATGGCCAGGTGCCACATACTCTGGACACAGATCATCCTCAGGAGCCACATCCACCTCAGCAGAAACACATGAGTGAGGTTGAAGGCCCACGAGGGGCTGCAGGAGCAACACAAAGGAAGGGGCCAAGACTTCTGCCCAGGGCCGCTAGCGACCAGGCTCTTCACAGAGCTCATGGAACCCCGACACCCCCCTTAGTACTAGCACCACCATCTGACCAGAGGAGAGGCCCAGGCTCCATGAAGTCATGTACTCGAGCCAAATCCAGGCTCTATCTGCCCACTCCAGGGTCCAGCTCTTTCCAGCACAGATTCATCCTCAGACACTATTTCTCTCAACCAGGTACAGCCAGCAACTTCAGATGGCCTGGCACACAATATCAGTAATGACAAGAGCAGTTAACTTATACTGAGTGCCAACTAGAGCACCAGACACAACTCTAGCTTCTTAAAAGTGAAAACTCACCCAATACCCCCAAATCCAACAATGTAGATTCCATCACTGAGGCCCCGAATAGCCAAAGCAATATTCAAGAACAAGAATAATGCAGGATTGTTCACAATAGCAAAACGATGGAAACAACCTATGGTACATACACACAACGGAGTACTATGCAACGAGAAAGAACAACAATGAATCTGTGAACCATCTCATAACATGGATGAAACTGGAGGACATTATGCTGAGTGAAATAAGTCAATC